ACATTTATCATAAATCTAACAAACGACTAAACAGATTTGTCCAGAGGCACTTACAAGGAAGAGGGTGAGAAGGAAGTATAAAGAAACTGGCATGGAATCTGCAGAAAGGAAAGTCATAATAAACAAGCTGAACTACACACGTCGAAAGCAATAAATCAGCCAGAAGTTCTGTGAATATTAAAGAAACCAGTGAAATCAAAATTGCTTAAGTGTTGAAAGTTAAAGTATCATTAGTTGAGATGTAAATGATCTTACAAGCTTTCTGAACTTGGAAAGAATTCTTAATTTTACTTCAGTTTTATATCTAGTTTCACTTAAGATGCATTGGTTGAGCACCTGCTGTTTCCCAAAACAGCCAGAAGCTATTGACCTCATGTAAGTTGTGAAGAATTCATGTGACTGGGGAGATGCTGTGTATGCAGCAATTTTCAATATAATAAATAGGGTGCCTTAAGACAAAAAGTTCTAACAGAAATGATCCCTAGTTAAAAACAATTCTTATTTAAATCTAATTTAAGTCAGGTGTGGTGGTATACATCTCTAATCCCACAACTTGGGAGGCTGAGATAGGAGGATTGCAAGTTTGAGGCCAGCCCGCGCAACTTAGCAAGACCCTATCTCAAAATAAAAAATAAAAAGGGCTGGGAATGGTTAACTCAGTTGTAGAGCACCCCTGGGTTCAACCCTCACTACCAAAAAAAAAAAATGTAAAGAAAAAAAGTTACCTTATGAATCCAATTTAAGAGATGGACAATGGTAAGATATAGGAGCATCTAGGTTTTTGGAAAAACATAAACAGAGTTCTAAATCTTGACTCTGCTGTTCTGTGACTGAGCAAATTATAAAAGATTTGTCATGTATAATACAGGTACAAAAAGTCCCTATGTCATGTAGTTACTTTGAAACTCAACTACTCTCATGTATTAATTATTATTATTACATTCAGTTAATTATTGAACTATTATTGTTTATATAAAACTATAGAGAATAATTTGATCCAAACACAAGATCAGATAAAGCTTTAGCTTTATATACTGTGGCTTCATAAAATATAGATTTAGTCTTCCAAAATGTCCAGATGTTTGGCTTTTGTAGGAAAAATGGCTGCTTGTGTATTTGTTGTATGTTTGTTTGGATACTTTGACATTATATAGACTCTAATGTTTTTGTTTTCAAGATGTGATTAGAACCTTCCAAATTATGGTCTATGGGGTTCAAACTTATTAATGCACACACTAGATCTAACTTATACATTTTAAAGTCACTTCGGAGTTTTTGCCATTCTCATATAATACAAAATTTGATGCTAGAACACTTATAGCAGAAGTGTTCAATAAGAAGTTTTATAATAAATCCTCATTCATCTGTTAATGATCACCATCAGCCTGCGTCTTCGTGGTTAACCCCCTGTCTCCTCCAGCCTTTATAGTCAAAACACCCCTGGAAAAGTCATCCCTCTGTCCTTGAGATGCACTGCTGAATCCATAAGGAAGTTGGCATTGCGGAGTCTGGTCCTGTCCTCAGGCTCACCTGTCACCTCCTGCTATGGTTTAATTTTTTTGTCTTCTAGAATCCATGTGCTGGAAACTTAATCCCCAAAGTCATATGTTAAGAGTATTTGGAAGTGAGGTGACTGGGTCATAATGGGATTATTGATTAATAATGGATTGATGGGCTATCCTGGGAGTGGCTTTGCTGTGAAAGTGAGCTCTTTGTAGCATGCTTTCTCTGTCTTGCCATATGATGCGGTTCACCATATTATGACGCAGTCCACCATATTATGATGCAGTCCACCATATTATCATGCAAGAGGCCCGGACCAGCTGCTGAACAGGTGTCACCACCATGCTCTTGATATTCTAGCTTCCAGAACCATGAGCCAAATAAACCTTCATTCTGTAAAAATCTCTTGCAGCAGCAGAGTAGACTAAGACACCTCCTCTCTCAGACTTTGGATTTGCCAAGCAAGTGCTTGTCTCTCCCCAAGCACTTCCAGGCATGGTTAAATCTCTCCTGGTCACACAGAGATGTCAATAGTGGTTTAGGAGTCTTAATTTTAAAAAGCTAGTAGACTTTGGACTCAGTCTCAAAGTCCTCCCCTACCATTCCTCTCTTTCTTAGGGCTAGCGTCTTTGCTCCTGTTTTTCTTTCTTCTCAGCCAGCATGCTTGTGTCTCAGGCTCTGTTTCTAATAATTTCTTTTTTGATGTTGTTTGTCATATTTTGTGGGAAATACATCCACATCTCCCAAATTTGTTAACTTGATTTAATTCTCCCCAATTTTGTAAAAACACTCGGCTTGTCAGGGAAAAAGTATAGCGTCCCTTGTCCCTTTGGGGTGATTTTAACGATGGAATGTCCCTGTTTTTCCTTGCTTAAGTATCAGAATCTAGTGTGAGCCTACTGGGAATTTTTGTAACTTCTCGTCAACTCTGAGGCTTACAAAAGTGCTGGGCTCACTTCCTCATTTCAGTGCTTGTGGAAGTAACCCAAAAAAGAACCCAAATTTAGAGTGGCTGTCATTAGAATTATTTCTAAATGAAACTGCAAATGATGCTGTTTGCCCCTCAGAGATCTTATTCACCCCCTTCCCAATATTTCCTCTTTTCAAACCACTCTGTCTTCCAAATAGATTTTGCTCTTTTATCCTTCCCTCTCTACCACGCCCCCATCACCAACATTTTGGATCCTCTTAACACTTTTATTAGTCTAGGAGGCCTCTTCCTGAAGGTCACACAGAGATGTTAATAGTGGTTTAGTGATTTTCCCTGCCTAAGAGTCTTTTTAAAAAGCAGACACACTTTTGATTGGGGAGTGACTGCAGAGACTTCCTCCAAACAGGGGAATTCTACACACAGAGGCATCTGGGTGGAGGGTGAGTATGAGGGGTGTGGTGCTTTCCTATACCAGTACAACACCCTGGACTCAGCCCCATGTTTCTTTTATTGGTTGTGTCAGATATCAAGTGTGTTGACAGTAGTAACAGCCTTCTTCATCCAGAAACTAACATCCTCCCCAGGTTCAAGTGGGGGACCCATCGTCTTTGTTCAGGCTTGTTGCTTCTTCAGAAAGAGCTCCCCTCAACTCCCCAAGCTGTTTGACTACCCTGGAGGGAGTCATGTTCTTTCCCGTTTACACTAACTTGTTCTCTTGCAGAGAAAGGACTCTTGCAGATTAAATACACTTGAGGGAGAGTGACATTACTGAGGATATGAACTTTAATTGCTCCTTTAAAACCCAATGGGCACCAATCGACGTGGTACATGCCTATGATCCCAGCAACTCAAGAGGCTGAGGCAGTAGGGTCATGAGTTCAAAGCCAGCCTCAGCAATTAGCTAGATCCTGTCACAAAATTTTAAAAAATAAATTAAAAGGGCTAGGGATGTGGCATGGTGGTAAAGCACCCTGAGTTTAATCCCTGGTACAAAAACAAACAAACAAACAAATAAAACCCCAGTGGCCAGTCATAGTGATGCACACCTGTAATCTCAATGATTTAGGAGGCTGAGGCTAGAGGATTGCAAATTTGAGGCGAGCCTGGGTAATTTAGTGAGATTATCTGTCTCAAAATAAAAAAGTAAAAGGGTCTGGGGATATACCTCAGTGGTAAAGCATTCCCCAGTCCCCCTTCAAACAACAACAACAACAACAACAAACCCTAATGGCCAATGCTCCCAAAGCATTTGAGGAAATAGCCTAGAAGCAAAAAATGGCCTAAACTCTTGTATCCTGCAATTTTTCAGGCATGCCTTAAGATCAGCCTTGACATTTACAGGTATTTGGGATTTTAACAAAATTATGCAAGGAATGAAAAATTTTTTGAGCTCATTTAACACATGAATTTTATCATCACAGGCAAGCTGGAATGTCAGTGGTCCCAAAGCAAGGTGCATATACCCCATGATCTACTGAGGTATTCAGAGAGGGATAATATACACAATATGTCTTTAAAGGCCAACTTTTTTAAAAAAAATTTACTTTTTGCAAATGCTTTATATTGTTCATAATACATATTTTTAATAGCACTGTTTCATAATTCATAGAAACAGCTGTGTTGGGGTACTACTCATTTTTAAAATTTTAAACTGCTGAGGAGGTGGGATAAAATAAATTGAGCACCACTCCCCTCTGATCCAGGCATTATAATCAAAACAGCTCTAACATTTCCTTCTAGGATTGGAAGGAATCTTAAACATCTTAAACAGTCCTCTGCACCATAAGAACACTATAGCTTTACTTTCACTACCTTTAAGACAATAAAGATTGTAGAGAGCAATAATCTGAGGTTAAGAGAGCAATTTTCTTATCTTCTACTGTAAATTCCCAGAACTTTAGATGCACTGAGTATAATTTATCTTAAATCTCTTGTATCTTTCTGTGCTTTTGATCACAAAATACCTCTTTGTTCATATCAAACATTTTCCAAAGACATCAAAAGCCATGTAGAAAAATATAATATACAATCTGAGGATATTGGCCAAGTTATGCCATTGTATTATATGCCTGTACTAATATGTAATAACAAATTCCACCACAACAATGTGGAGAAAACAATATATAATATGAAAACGATTTTTAGTAGATATGCTATAGTCAATTAGCCACAGAGAAGAAATTATGGCATATATCTGCTGAAACAACAATGGGAAATTATTTATGGTGTCTCTCTCTCTCATGTATTTCTATTCTAGAAAATGAGGGCTGATCTTAAGCAATTTAACCCTTCTTTTTGATGTTTGCTGATCTTTCCTCATGAGGAGATGTCTCTTACACAATCATCAATTAACAAGCTGGTTGCCTGTCAAGACAAGCCAAGGGGTGGCATTATTTGCATTTGTTGATCAATGACTCTTTGGGGTTGTAAAGACTCAAGGAGTGACTCAGGAAGTCAGGGGCCCATATCATTCTGCCGGGACTGGGCCACTCAGGGAGTACCCTTGTGACTCCACAGTCTTACAGCTTACTTAACTTCCTGTTTCCGTTGTCATGTAGGGCTATTGGCAAATCACAGTTCACACCCCAACTTTTCAGTCTTTTCCTAGCTCTTGCCCTATCAGAGGCCAAGGACAACGGAATAATGATTCATAGGCCTTACTTCCTGTAAGTAATCCTTTTCCCACGGTGAGTGATGATTTATGCTGGGAGAGGGGTAAAGAATGTTGATTTGCTTTCTTTTCTGTGTGGCCTTTCTGCTGACAGAGGGTTAGCTAGGGCTACTTTGTCTCCATTTGGAAGACCATCTGTAAAATGCTTAAAAGTACTTTAATTTTTTAAGTGTGAGCCCCTTAAGTACATTGTTTCTAGGAAACTGAAATACTATAATTTCAATACACACTTTGTTAAAAAAGTAAAGCAATTTCCTTCCTTCTTTTGGTATGTGAGGACTATGTATGCCTCATAGAAGTCAAGAGCTGGACAAGCTCCCACTACAGCCCCATTTTATAGATGAGAAAACCAAGACCCAGGGAAGTGACATAGGTTGTCTATTTTTACAGAACTGGTTAATGACAGATTAGAGTTGAAATCAACTAATTTTAGGTTACCATCTTATCTAGCATCAAGCTTCCTTGTACCATATCATAAGAGAAAATCTGGCATAAAGAAGTCTGTGACCTTCTCAGTGAGTCACATGAATTAGTGAAAGGTCAAGGGAGAAGCATATGAACTGCTATCAGATTGGTTTGAATTTTGAACTGGGTGATGTTGGCTAATTTATTTAATATCTCTTGTATTTTTTCATCTTTACATATGAAAATGGGGATAATAATTTCCATTTCACATTACATTCTTAAGAATTAAACAATAAGACCAAGATTTTGCACACAGTAGGCTCTCAATAAATGGAAATTCTAATTACTGTTAGCCTGAGTGACATTTGCCCTTGCTCTCTGGGATTTCTTTTGGAGGTAGCCCTAGTTTGAACTGTCTTAGAGCTCTGTTGTTTTTTTTTTTTTTACCTTAACATGATTCAGTTAGTTTCTTAAGCACTGTTGACTTTATTTTCCTTTGTGATTTGCATCTCAGTTGTCTCATTTCCCTGAACGCTGTCACAAGCTATGAGATTGTTGCAGAACACGATCTGAAACTTTACAGGCAAGGGAAGTCCCCTCCAAAAGAGACATTGTTTTCCCCTTCTGGAGTTTTACACTTCTCATATCCTTGTTTTTTTTTTTTTTTTTTTTTGTGTGTGTGTGTGTGTGTAGTGTGGTGTGTTGAGACAGGGTCTCACTTTGTTGCCTAGGCTGGTCTCAAATTCATGAACTCAAGAAATCTTCCTGCTCCCTGTGACTACAGGTGCACACCACCACAATGGCACCATTATTCTATCAGATTGTGCAGGGAAGCCCTCATCGTAGTGGCTGACTGGATGCAGTTAACAGACCTGCCCAACTGTTTTGGACAGTGCGGTTTGTCTGGGAGGCTGAGGGTCTGGCTGTGTGTGCTCCTGCTGTCTTACTGCCATGGCTTCTGTCTCTGTACTTCTGTGCCCTGCTTGTTTATTTCCTTTGGTCTTTCCCTACCACCTTTCTCATTCACCAGTGGAAATTTAGAGACCTCTGTGGTTTTTACAGGAGAAATGAGGCTTTGCATTTTGTATGCGCATTTCCTTTATACTCAGAGGGATTTCCTAAAGCAGCTTTCTCACCTAGCTTCCCCCACAGTGATGGGGAATTGTCACTTAGGTGCACGTGATTCTTCTTTTTCTTCTTCTTTTTTATTTTAAAACTCAGTTGCAAAAACATACACATCATGTTCAGGTCTTGCAATGAAAAAAAAAATGCTCCAGTCATTTTTGTAATATTTTTTCTATCATTCAAATGCTGGGTACATATCATGATAAAATGCAGCCCATTTAATTCAATGGGTTGATTTCTTTAACCAAAATGATCATGAGTGTGTATGTGTGTGTATTTAGTGTTCAACTTTTTAGATATTTTGTCACTAGGGAATTTCCCATGTGAGGATATGTTGCAACACAAGAGACCGATCTGCAATATTTTTTTTAAATTAAAGATTTATGCTAAGTGCTTTAATAAACTTTATGTCATATTAAATATCATAAAAGTAATTTTTAAAAACAGGAAGTAGATCTGCAATCCTATCCATTAATTATTATATCCATTTCACTTTTGAATGTTAACTTTCACTTTTTATCCTATATTATTCATGTGCTATGGTCTTATTAATGTAGTGTTTAAAATTTGGTGCTTCAAGGAATGAAACAGACACCAGGCATGGTGGTGCTCGCCTATAATCCCAGTGGCTCAGGAGGCTGAGGCAGGAGGGTCTGAAGTTCAAGGCCAGTCTCAGCAACTTAGTGAGGTCCTAAGAACTTAGGGAGAACCTTTGTCCAGATTTCAAAAACAAAAACAAAAAAGTGCTGAGGGGGTGGTTCAGTGGCTAAGCCCTTCTGGGTTTAACCCTTGGTACAAAAAAAAGAAGAAGAAGAAGAAAGAAAGAAACATATATTGCTCACATTTAGTCCAAAGGGCCCACCCACTTTTCTGCTCTTGTGTGCTTTGTCCTCTCTGAGCCATAATGGACCAAGTATTTATGAAACCAACATACTCTTCCCTGGGGGTTGTTCCCTATGAAGCCTTGCTTTTAGGAATGATGAAGAAAGATTCCAGCATACTTTACTTTATCTACTTCACAAATATTTACTGAGTGCCTACTAAGCATTGAGTGTTCCTATGTTGATTAGGGACACAGGATGCACACTTACTTTGACATGTTAAAGATGGGAGGTAAAACCATGGGGGAAATTTTCATGGTAGTTTTGTGATTCCGAGTGGCTCAGAGCCAATTAGAGGAAAAAAATATCTCTGCATTGTTTTCTGCCAAAGAAGTGATTGAGGATATAATAAAATAAAATGAGGGGGCATGATAAGCATGGTGGTGGGGGAGGGTAGGCATGGCTTGGGGATGCACAGTTAAAGTAATAGACCTGGGAGTGACAAAGTTAAGTTGAATCAGTGATCAGGGGATGACTAGTGGCTTCATTAGGTGTGTGTGTGTGTGTGTTAAACAGAAAAAGAGAAATATAATCCTAATAGTTTTATACAAATATTAAAACTTATTGTTTATATGACTAAAAACTTTCAGGTTAAATTTGGCTTCAACTTTGGCTGAAATTTAGTTTTCCAACAAAAGTTCTTATGATGTTTGTCTTTCTCCAGTTGGTTTCTATTTTCAGACAGGTTTCCCCACTTGGTGGCAAAGATGATTATCTGCAGATTTAAGTTTTGCAAGTTTTGAAGCCCTGATGGAAACACACAGCTTTTATAACTTGATTGTTCTGGCTTGGGTCATGGGTTCTCCTTAGTCGCCAGGTGTTGAGATTATCCCCAATCCACACCATATAAATCAAGAATGACAAAATGGATCTGGGTGTGGTGGTGCAGGCCTGCAATCTCAACAACATGGGAGCCTGAGGCAGGAGGATGGCAAGTTCAAGGCCATCCTTGGCAATTTAGTGAGACCCTCAACAACTTAGTGAGAGTCTTTGAAAGAGAAAAGTGTGTGGGGGGGACTATAAATGTAGCTCAGTGGTAAAGCACTCCTAGTACAGAGAGAGAGAGAGAGAGAGAGAGAGAGAGAGAGAGAGAGAATAAAGAATGACAAAATAGCATTTCTCCAAGGGAAATAATGTATTCTTTTACCATGTGTTCTTTTTACCAAAGCATGCTGAACAGGTAAAAACTAACAATGACCACTGCACAGCTCCCTTGAAGACTTTTTGAAATGATGGATCTTTACTCCGTAGAAGAGTGCTATAATACTTTGTAACATTGGAACACAACAGAATTATACTTATACTTTTAGGAGTTCACAGACATTCTCAAGTTATATACACTTACCTAGGGTTCAGTAGACCTCAGCTCAAAAAAAACCAAAAAAAAAAACAAAAACAAAACTCTGATCTGTAGTTTGAAATAATTGAGGGTAAGGACTGGCATTTTTGGTCATGGTAATTTCTACTCCAAGTAGAACATTTTGTACATTATCAGTTTCCAATACATTTAATAAATAAATGAAAAATGAATCAGTGAACCAAATAACACTTTTCTTTATATAATCTGCTATACTGGTACGGTGCTAGAGGGGATCATATATATCATCTCATTTCATTCTCCTAATGTTATTTTATAGGTAAGGAAACCAAAATCAAGTTAGGAGTAAAGTGATCTGAGATCTCAGAATTGACAAGCATGGAAAGATGAGAGCACACCTTATATCTGAGGGCAGATAGTCCACCTGAGCAAGGTTATAATCTGGGTGTCAAGGAATGTACTGGGATCCACCGTGGCATAGCTGGTTCACATTCACAGCCACTGCCTTGGGGATTATCATTTACCATCTGTGCTTCTTAATCCATATGGAGTACTTCTTGTCAGTGTCCCCCCCCCACACAAAAAAATTTACTATTTTATCCTTGTAATAACTCCCTAAAATTGTACTCATGTATCATGTTTTTGCATCTACCTCAGAATCTGTACTCAAACTAAGATTTTTGGTGGTGGTTGAAATTTCAACTTAACTACTAGATTCACTTATTTGATATTGAGGAGTCCCCTCCCCATAACTGTAGTATTGGAAGATCCCAGAATTATCACTACTGCACTTCAGGGAGAATGATGAAAACTCTAGGTCAGTTGCTGGAGGGTGAGTCAACTGTACAACCCAAAGCAGGCAATGTCCTCAGTTGTGTGGCATTGTAAGTACTTGATCAGTAAAGGAAAGTGACCGAAACTATTACTATGAAGTCACTGAGTTTGGCAGATTTTGGAGATCTCCCATTTAAGGAGGTCTTTTTGCTCTCTTATCTTGCCTCAGGGCCCAAGTGAATTGATGAATATATAACACTAAGAGAACAGAAAGAGAAGGAGTTATCAGAACTCAGACTGAAATGAATGAAATATCTGACTCTACCTTTCAGCAAATTGTTTTGTATAAGAGCAGTGAAAGACTCTAATAAGCAACTTTCAGCAAGATTATACTTGGCTGGTGTTTTGATTAGTTATTGGGCTTTGAATACATGCATGTGTATTGACTGCTGATCTATGTGTATACAATACATATGTGTAAATAAATATATC